TCCGGGAATCATCCCCCAAAATCCAGGAATCATCCCCAAATCCGGGAATCCTCCCCAAAATCTGGGAATCCTCCCCCAAAATCCGGGAACCATCATCCCTCAAATCCCGCCTCATTCCATGTTTTCCTGCGGCTGGGAATGGCGTTTCCACGGGAACGCCGCCCGGAACCCCCGGGAATGCGTCGGAGCCGGGATGATCCCGGTTTTCCTGGTTCCCAATTCCCGTTCCCAGGGGTGGGGCGGAGACCTGGGGGTGTTGCCACGCCCATGGAGACACCGGGAACGATCCCGGCGGGATGAGGGAGAGGATCGGGAATGGGGGAGCGGAGGACTGGGAATCTCGGGATGGGGGGAATCTGGGAGGGGTCCGGCTGTGTCCGGGTGTTTCCGGCTGTGTCCGGGCGTGTCCGGTTCTGTCCGGCTGTGTCTGAGTGTTTCCGGGCGTGTCTGGGTGTGTCCAGTTCTGTCCGGCTGTGTCCGGCTGTGTCCAGTTCTATCCAGGTGTTTCCAGGTGTTTCCGGCTGTGTCCGGGTGTGTCCGGTTCTGTCCGGCTGTGTCTGAGTGTTTCCGGGCGTGTCCAGCTGTGTCCGGGTGTTTCCAGGTGTGTCCAGGTGTGTCCGAGTGTGTCCAGGTGTGTCCGGGTGTTTCCAGTTCTGTCCAGGTGTGTCCAGGTGTGTCCGAGTGTGTCCAGGTGTGTCCGGGTGTTTCCAGTTCTGTCCAGGTGTGTCTGGGTGTGTCCAGGTGTGTAAGGGTGTTTCCAGTTCTGTCCAGGTATGTCCGGCTGTGTCCGGGTGTGTCCGGCTGTGTCCAGTTCTGTCTGGGTGTGCCCAGGTGTTTCCGGGTGTGTCCAAGTGTGTCCGGCTGTGTCCGGCTGTGTCCCGGGTGTTTCTGGGTGTGTCCAGGTGTGTCCGGCTGTGTCCACCTGTGTCCAGGTGTGTCGGGGTGTGTCTGGGAGTTTCCGGGTGTTTCCGGGTGTGTCCAGGTGTGTCCAGTTCTGTCTGGGTGTGTCTGGGTGTTTCCAGCTGTGTCCGGCTGTGTCCAGGTGTGTCCGGTTCTGTCCGTGTGTGTCCAGGTGTGTCCAGGTGTGTCCGGCTGTGTCTGAGTGTGTCCAGGTGTGTCTGGCTGTGTTTCTGAGTGTGTCCAGGAGTTTCCGGGTGTTTCCGGGTGTGTCCAGGTGTGTTCAGTTCTGTCCGGCTGTGTCCAGGTGTGTCCGGTTCTGTCCGTGTGTGTCCAGGTGTGCCCAGGTGTGTCCGGCTGTGTCTGGCTGTGTCTGGGAGGTTTTGGGTGTGTCCAGGTGTGTCCAGGAGTGTCCGGGTGTGTCTGGGTGTGTCTGGCAGTGTCCGGCTGTTTCCAGGTGTGTCCGGGTGTCTCCAGGTGTGTCCAGGCGTTTCCGGGTGTGTCCGGCTGTGTCCGGGTGTGTCCGGGTGTGCGTTTGGAATACGGAGCTGGGAAGGGCCGCGTGTGCCGGGAACATCCCACGGGATGTGTCCGTCATCCTGGTGTGTTCCCGTCCCATTATCCCGT